AGAAAAATCCCCTGATGATTTTTTTTCCTGTAAGGGCTTAGTAACATTGAGTTTTAGGGGTGGGTTAAGCTGCTTTTAAAACTCAGAGTACTTCTCATGTGTGTCTGATCCTCAAACCACAATTATTTCAGGAATAATTTTTCTTAAAATGTAGTAGACCTGAATCTCTTAGAAAGTAATTCTAACCAACTGATCAAAGAGACTGCCATTCTAAAACAAAATTAACTTATGAATGAGGTCCTAAATGGGCAAAACACTATCATAAACTTTATAGAAGGAAACTGAAGTAATAAAAGATCAACTCTATGCCTTTAAAGAGCTTAAAATCAAGTCATCAAGGATATGAGTCTTGTTAAGGTTATGCAATTTAAGAAATTAATATGTGCCATAGGAATGACACAAACAAGAACACAGATAAGGTAGATAATATTTCTCTTTTGTACAAGAGAAAAATAGAAATGAGGAAGTATATTGAAAGCCATGTACAAAGAGCCATACTTTACATTGCAGAAATGAGGAGTCATTAGACACATTTAAGTAGAAAAAGACTGTGTTTTAAGGAGATTAATCTTTACCAGTGTATAGATTGGACTTAACGTGGAGAAATAAATTGATGCAGGAAGATCAGCTAGAAGATAAGCTTGGAACTGTGTAGGTAAAAGCTATTGAGGACTAAAACTAGACTGATGGCAATCTGAATAAGTTGAAAACAGTACAGGCATGGTGATTGAATTGCTGTACAATTATGAATTGTGAAAGTAGATCCTGTTTGCATCTGATAACCCTTATAACAATGAACAGTCCTAATCCTAACTCACTTCTCTCTAAATCTATAGTGAGCTCCTCTACCAAAGCCCCTGGGGAGAAAAGGAGTTCTTCCATGAAAACACTAATCAGAAAGTCAAAGAAAAAGCCTTCCATTTTTCTCCAAAGAGTAACCTGCTACTGTGAGTGAAGCAAACTTACGCCAGGGCTGTCATTTTCTTGGTACTTGGCAAACCTGGTTCAGAGAATGTAAGAATGTTTAATGCATGATGAACCACTGACCCAGGGAAAGGTTTATAGCTCTGGAGAGAGCCATGATCTAGGCTTAGGAGAATTTCTCTCCTTTAGAAGTAAGGAAATTACCTGAGGGGACAGGGAAATTTTTAATTTATGGGCTAGACAGGAAAAAACAGAAAGTTTTCAGCTACCAGAGAAAAGACTGCTGCTATGAGAAAAGATGGGTTAGGAGCCCCTTAAGAGTAAGAACAATCTTAGCTTCCATGTTAAGTGATTGATTTCATGCCCTGACAAAACATGGAGATCAAGACTAGCACCAGGGAAGGTGGCGTGAAGACAGAAGATGACATCCTAAAGTTTACAGAGACTACAGAAGCAATGCCAGCACTATGACAAATATCAAGAGTATATTAAACCTGCTATATCCATTTATTGTACCACCTAACTCACGTCAGGTGTAACAACTACAACAAAAACCAGGATTTGAATCAAGGTAAACTTAAAAACAAAGGAATTGTTCAGAACTTTGGCTAATGATTGACTTATTCACATTCACAAAGTTATTTGTTCATGGCAATAATTGAACAAACTTGGAAATCTCAGCACTTATTTCATGTATTTTTTTTTCTTTTGCTATTTTACCTATTTGAAAGGGAGGTCAAAACAGAAGCTTTTCTTTTTCTATTTGTCAATCTCTGTGTCATCAAAGTGACATTTAAAGACATCAAAATGTCTGATGCTGGGTAGCCACGGGCATATATCACTCAGATATTCCTCAGAGAAAATCTAGGAACAGTTGGATGACAGCCTTCAGTAACCACACCTCCAGAATCAACTGCAGCATTCACTTGAGGCCAAACTCTCCCCAAGCTGCTGTCAGTGTTCAGTGAGTGAACTTGGTGAGGGTTATAAGCTGCCCCTGTATGCTCAAGATGGGACTCCTCTAACAGACAGCCTCATCTCTAGCACTCCCCATTGGTCTGACTGACACTTTATTGCAGTCTCATGGCAGTTTCATTGCAGTCAGTTTAAGGCTTTTCATACCTAGTCCTCCTTCTTTCTCCTCCCCCTTTTCCAGGCATCAGACCTATACCATGGTCCAAGGCACTTCTTGCCTACTCCTGTTGTCTGTCTCTCCACTCTACCTGAGATGTTTCTTCCCCAAAAGCTCTTGTACGTCTGTCACCTTGGTATGACTCTTAGCTTACGTAAATGATAAAAGTTACCAAACTCTTATAAAAGCACTAAGATGTTAAAGGTTAAATGTAATGATTTCACTGAAACAAGCATCTTTCCAGCCTTCTCTTTTTCTGTGCATCTTTTCTCTCTTCCTCTCAGTTCTTTTCTAAGAACCTGTCTGAATTTTTATTGTAACAGACAGGAAAAAGAAAGTTTGGCATGTATTTTCCAGCAACACTTAGAATGAGCAGAAATCAGCAGCATTGTTCATTCCATTATCGGGTTTCAGTGTGTATAGATTGTGCTTTTATTGACACTTGAGAAGTGAGAGGGAAGGATGGACGTGGTTTGGCTCTCAACTCATTAGGGATACTGAAGGCAGAGGGGTGAAGGATATAGTAGCCTTGCCCTGAAGCAGCAATGACTCCCTATTTTCAGAGACTGTTCCAGGGTCAGTTTCCCAGGACAACAGAAATTTTAATATTAAAATTTTAATTTTAATTTAAATTTTAATATTAACATTTTAATTTAAGGATTACAGCAGTATTTTACTCTACTAAAACATATATATTTAAATACTGATATAGGGAAAGTAAAATAAACAAATATTTCTGGAATAGGGTGTGACTGAAAGCTTTGCATTTAAATGTACTCTTCAGGCTCTTCAAGAGGAACTTGCCTTCAGATAACAGCAAATTCTCTTGAAGACTAAAAATTATCACCTCTTTCCCATACCATCATAATTCCAAAATCCCTTGCTAAGTCCTTGAAATAGGAAATTTCTGGAAAAATAATGTGGAAAGGATCTAAAGAATTGAAATGAAAAGATGACCTATTGTAGCTAGACATTTACACAGCATATACTTAACAAAAACATGGATGGAGATTAACTCTGTTGCTCTGACAATGATAAAAGTCCATATTCAGATATGAGTTAAGAAAGCAAGTTGTTTTCAAGTGATGGATGTCACAGGAAGGTAGGAATTTAAAGAACTATAAGCTCATAAACTCAGACAAGCCTCTAAGGCTATGACATACAAATTTTTTAAATTGAAATTGAAATTCAACTTATTTTCTAAACTAAACATTTTATTAGTTTTGTCGCAGCATCATTTTTTTGTAAACTTAAAGACAGTATATGTGGGGTAGTGGGGAGAGAGTAATCCATTTATTACCTGAATTTTCTATAAATAATCCATAGTGAACTTTTGCCACAGTTCGTTTTTATAACATATTTAAATTATTGTGATATTACAAATGTGAATATAATTCTTCACATATTTAAAGGACATTGAAATGTTTGTATACATAAATAATATCTTAGTTACTTATTTGAAAAATCTCAGTAAAAATGATATTATTATCCAGGAGCTTTAAATTTGAAACTTAAAATTTTTCATATGTTTAATTTAAAGAAAATAGCATGTGGATGTTATTTAACAAAATTCATTTGAAGAGGATGAGATTATAAAACATAACCATGAGACTATTTCTTTGCCCCTCCAAAAAACCCTAAACCATATATCTAAATTTTGCTTCTATTTCTATTGTACACAAATGTGTTCAAATTTCAACACTTATAAAACAATTTAACTACCTATCCTGTGCATTAGCTTTGGTCCACACATTACACTTCGAAAATTGATTATATGTTTGTTCTAGTATCATTTACAATAATGACACAGAAATATTCTGGAAAATTCATTAATAGAAGAATGAACAAACATTACATAAATGTTTTGAAATATTTATATCGCTTATGAATAATGAAGTGCAAAGTTTTCCAAGGTATGTTGTCAAATAGTAAAAAAAGAAAAGGTAAGGAAAAAGAAACCCACACGTTGCAGATGAAATATAGCATAGTAATTAAGATCAGAGACTCTGGAACTAGACTAACTTTTGAATACTGACTTTGCTACTTAGTAGCTGTATGAAGACAAAGGTTTGGTTTTGGTTGCTTTTCTTTCTTTGTTTTTAACTACTTATACATCAGTTTCCTCATGTGTAAAATGGAGGTAAAAATAGTACTTACCTCACAGGGCTATTGTAAGGAACAAATGAGTCATTATATATGAAACAATTGTAATGATATCTGCTATTATGTCAGCACTAAATTAGTGCTTCTTTATTTATATATAGAATGGCCTAATTTATGTTCAACGTACAGAGACAAACAAAACTATTACTCTATATGAACTTACAGAACATATATGTTTGCAAGCACACAGAAAAAGGCCTAACAACACACATGCCAAACTGATACCAATGTATCATTAGGGGCGTTAAAGGAAATCCCTTGCTGTTTGAGTATCTTCCATAGAAAATATAATTAATATATTATTTTGTGATTACATTTTAAATACTTTATACACTCATTAAATGGAACTATAAAAAATAATGGTGAAGATTACATTCACTCACTTATTGACATTAAAAAATGTTCATGCACATATCGTAAAGTGCAAGCAAGCAGATCAAAACACTATTAATTTTATTAACATGAACTCAGTAATGTAAAATTATATGGTTATGTTTTGTGTATGGAATGATCATGTTAATGTTTATTCTGGCTAGGTGATTTCAACTTTGTTCTTTATATATAGATATATGTATATATAATTAAACATAAATATACACAAATCTATACATTACTTTTTAAAAAACACTATAAAAGCTATTTTACTGTGAAAAGAAAGCAACAGCAAGGCAAGCTAATTATGCCATCATGCAACATTCTGCATTCAAAATACATATGTTGAGACCACCACTGAGAACCATTGATGAATGGAATGAATTAGAAAGGTTATGAATGTACTTACCCACCAAATGCCTGAAGTGCAGAGAACTGGGAAGCATCCAAATCATTGCCACTTACTATTCGAGCCTTAAACGAAAATGGAGAAAAACAAAACAAAACAAAAGAAAGAGGCTTTTAGCATCCTATAGCTGTGTATACATGAATTTGGAACACGCGTCAACTGCACTAGACACGTAACACCTAGTATGACAGATGCTAAGCAGGGTCAGCTTCAAGTCAAAGCTACTGTGTTTTTGTGAGTGGAGGTTTTGAAATTAGCTGTCAGCATTCAGACAAAAGCACTGGCAGAGTCGAGGAAAATATCATATTCCAAATACTATTTGCCCTTAAAACTTGGTATGTGCAGTGAAGATCATGAATCAGTCAGAGAGATCATGATTGGCCAGACTTAAAAACAGATGCTGAGTTTGACCGTAGCAGACCCCTAGGTTGGCAAGTGTAAGCTAAAGTAAGCGAAGCTGGCAAGGTGTAACCTCTTCATAAATGCAACAGATTGGGGCACACTTAAAGGACAACCAAAGAATGGAAAGCTGGGATAACATGCACAGTTCACAACTAAAACAGAAGAACCAAAACAGGTCTAATATGTCACAAACAAACATGTACAAAAGACAAGATCCCTCAGGAGGGAAGAAAAAGTATGATTTAAAACCTTTTCATCCACAGAACTGCTATCTGAAAGAGAACCAGGAAAAGAAGGAATAAATGTTAGATGGAGTACTTTTCAAGAAATCATTTAAACATATACATGAACAAAGTGTTAGTGTTATATAGTTTAAAATCATAAATGAACCCCAAGGGAAGAAAGATAGTTGGTCCTCACAATTTAAAGAGCTGGAAAATGTGCCAGAATGCTTGAAAAGTATAAAAGAGTGATTACAGGACTTAACGAAAGACAATGTGTCATAAAAAGAAAAGAACAGTTTACATATCAGAATGCCTAGGCTCCAGTTGGGGCTATGCCACTTACTAAGCACACTGGGCAAACTACCAAATTCTCTGGAGTCTGGAGTCTAGACTCTGAAATAAAGTCACTAATACTTTGCTTTTTGCCTCCAAATGTTGTGGAGAGGATCAATTAAGATCAATATATATGAAAGTAGACCCCAGGTGACTATATAAACTAAAGATGTTTTATTGAAGGATTATTTATGGCTTCTCATAGAACTTCAGAACTAAAAGACTAATTAAGTATATTTCACCTTGCAAATAAGAAAACTTGCCTGAAGGGATTAAATGACTTAGGATCCCAAAACTAGTAAATGACAGAGTGGGACACAAATCCAGGGCTTCTGATCCCCCACCTGCTGCCCTTTAGATCCAGTGTTTCAGGTGAAGTGAACAAAACAGTGAGGGGTGGTTGATCCACAGTTCTCCAGTGCAACTTAAGATAAATCACAAGGTCAACATTTATCACTTTCAACTGCTCATAGGCCCAAGTAGATGAACAATGGACTACTGCTTTTTGTTTTTCTTTTTGAAACTCAAGTCTAAATCTGTAAGGGTCATCATAGCATGGTCCATTTCTACCTTACATAGTGTTATTGCTTTTTAGCATAAAGCTGGAGGGATTTCTCTATGAATACAAGTTTGCAGAAAGCTAGAGCTGGCAAGACCTTACAGTTCATGTAGTCCAATCCCCTTATTTTTATAGATGAGCCCCAGAGACAGAAAGATTTCCCTGAGGTCATGTAACTCAATGATGACCTTTATTGATAAAAATTTGAAATATACTTGTTTTCTTGACTCATTAAGTATGAACCAGTTAACATAACTAAATATTTTTGTGCAATATTTAAGATTTTACAATATCCCAGGGTTCTATCTTTGAATATAAAACAGGGTAAGGCACAATACAGAGTAATAAAGCAAATCTTATTTATGGCCATAAGTATTTTTAAATACTTCACAAAATACAGAAAATAAAATTCAGCACAGTATCAGAAGAATAATATATCATAGCCATGAAGGTTTTTTCATAAGCATGATTTAAAATCACTGACGAATTTAACATGACATATTAACTGGTCATAAAATACATATCTGCATTTCAACAGGAACACACAAGTTATTAGATAAAATTTCAAAATCTTCCAAATAATTTTTAACCTATTTAAAATAGGACTGGGATGAGTCTTAAGTTTAATATGCTAAAAACATCTTTCAGTATCAACTTAAGTGTAAAATATTAGGGCATCCCTAGTATTAAAACCAAAACAAAAATGTTCACTACCATATTTTAACTTAATTCCAGAAATTCTGACCAATATATTAAAACAGAAATAAACAACACAAATGTTAAAAGGTAAAATACAGAATTATTATTTTTCAGGAATTACAGTATTATACCCTGAAAACAAGCCAAACAAAACCACCTGGAAAACTATTAGGATAATAAAATAGGTGGCAAAGTGAATATATAACCAACACATCAAATAACAACATTAAGTTATTTCCTACTAACTAGCAATAACTAGTTTGGAATACAATGACATTAGATCTCATTTCAAATATCCAGTACTGTGACACAGTCTTCCATTCTAACTGGCTTCTACAGCAACCACTTGACTATATAAAGGTAATCTTACCAAAGTTGTTATTTTTCAGCTGCTAAATGTGGTAATACATTAACTTTTCATTCATTGATTCATTCAATGTTCATTCATTCTTTCACTGAATACGTATTTTTATTAATTATCAATGAACCTTTGTTGTTCACTTTGACTCCTTTCTTGTCCCCATTTGAAACCTTTCTGAAATACAAATATGATGTCACTTCCCTTTTTAAAACCCACCAATGTCACCCAATGCCCATTTGAGAAAATTAGATCTATATATACTATAAATTCATGGCTCATCAGTCCTCATTCATTTAATTGTACGCTTTGGCTACAATTAAATTCTTGCCATTTAGTTTCCATGACATGTCTTTTAAATGTGTACCTTTGCATTTTCAGTTTCCTCCCCCTAAAACAAGTTAGCGCTTTCTTCATCCAGCTAACTGCCTGTCAGCCTCCAAAACTCAGTTGAGGCATAACCCGCTCTCCTGGAATCTTGTCACTTTTCAGGGATTCATGGTCTTTATACATGAGCGCTGCACACTGTGCATTCCTCTTGGCTAACCCTCAAAATTTTCCAATTTCCTTATCTGAAATCCTTCTAAAAAAGTGCCTCAATGATACTTTAAGCTTTTTGTCAACTTCCATTATATTCCTGAAACACCAGGAGATGACTAATAAATGTTTGCTAAGCAGTGAATGTACAACCTTACATAAGCTATATGACTTTATTGAAGTATTTAAAAATCCATATAAAGAAAACTATTATTTCATCTTTCTGTATAGGGAGGATGAATTACTTTCTAACAGATTTATAGATTTAACAGTTAAAATCCTAATGGCAAGTTGTCGTAACTTGAAATTATGCTAATTTTAAGTATAACTAGGTCAATAAACAAGTAAAAATACATAAGATTGTTTTAAAGGAGAATAATGAGGACAGATTATACAAATATTAAAAGTCTATAATAGCTAAAATATTATGGTTGTGGCAAAATAATAGAAGATCAGTGAAACATAAAATATACCAAAGTAATATACCCTTATACTTAAGAGCTTAGTGAATAAGAAAGGACATATTATTATCAAAGAAAATGAGAAACATTAGTTAATAAATGATGCTTATGGGGCAGAGACAAGATGACAGAGTAGAAGGACTTGAGCTCACCCCTCTCACCAAAACACCAAAATCACAACTGACTGCTAAACAACCATTGACAAAAAAACACTGGAAACTACAAATAAAGATATCCTACAACCAAAGACAAAGAAGAAGCCAAATGAGACACTAGAAGAAGCACAATCATCATAAAATCGATCACATACCTGCCAGGTGGGTGACCCACAAACTGGAAAACAATTATATGACAGAAGTTATTCCAGAGGAATGAAAGTTCTGATCCCCACATCAGGCACCCCATCATGAGAGTCTTGCATCAGAAGGAGTCCCCAGAGCATCTGGCTTTGAAGGTCAGTGGGGCTCTGATCACAGGAATTCCACAGGAATGGGAGAAACAGAAACTCCACCCTTGGATGTTGTACACAAGGTCTTGTGCACACCCGGATGCAGGGGAAAAAACAATGACCTCATAAGAGCCTGGGCCAGACCTACTTGCTGGTATTGGAGGGTCTCCTGCAGAGGCGGGGGGGGTGGGGGTGGGGGGCTGTGGCTCACTGCAGGGGAAAAGATAATGGAGGCTGTAGTTCCAGAAAATACTCATTGGCAAGAGCCCTCCTGTAGGTCACCATTTTCCCACAAGACCTGGCCCCACCCAATGGCTTGTACGCTCCAGTGCTGAAACACCTCAGGCCAAACAACCAACAAGGTGGGAACACAGCCCCACCCATCTGCACACAGGCTACCTGAGGTCTTCCTGAGCCCACAGCTTCCCAATGAACACACCCCTTCACATGGCCCTGCCCACCAGAGGGACAAGACCAAGCTCTAGTAACCAGTGGGCAAGAACCAGTCCCTCCCACCAGGAAGCTGGCATAAGCCCCTTAGACCAGCATTATCCATCAGGGGACAGACAGCAGAAGCAAGAAGAATTAAAACCCTGCCTCTTGAGGAACAGAAACAGCAAACACAGAAAGTTAGACAAAATGAGACAGCAGAGGAATGTGTCCCAGATGAACGAACAAGATACCCAGAAGAACTACTAAGTGAACTGGAGACAGGTAATCTACCTGAAAAAGAATTCAGAGTAATGATAGTAAAGATGATCTAAAATCTTGGAAAAAGAATGGAGGGACAGACAGAGAAGATACAAGAAATGTTTAAAAAAGAGCAAGAAGATCTACAGAACAGAGATGAACACCACAATAACTGGAATAAAAATACACCAGAAGGAATATCAGAATACATGAATCACAAGAATGAATAAGTGAACTGAAAGACAGAATGGTGGAGATCACTGCTGCAGAACAGAATAAAGAAAAAAGAATGAAAAGAAATGAGGACAGTCTAAGAGACCTCTGGGACAACATTAAACACATCAATATTCTCAGTATGGAGGTCCTAGAATAAGACAGAGAGAAAGGGCCTGAGAAGATATACAAAGAGTTAATAGCTGAAAACTCCCCTATCATAGGAAACGAAGCAGTCATCCAAGTTCCAGGAAGTGCAGAGAGTCCCAGGCAGGAAAACCCCAAGGAGGAACATGCCGAGAGACACAGCAGTCAAGTTGACAAAAATTAAAGACAAAGAAAATATTAAAAGCAACAAGGGAGAAGCAAAAAGTAACATACAGGGAATTCCCATAAGGTTATCAGCTGATTTTTCAGCAGAAACTCTACAGGTCAGAAGGGAGTGGCAAAATATATGTAAAGTGATGAAAGGGAAAAACCTACAACCAAGAATACTCTACCAAGTAATGCTCTCATTCAGATGTGATGGAGAAATCAAAAGCTTTATAGACAAGAAAAAGCTAAGAGAATTCGGCACCACCAGAACAGCTTTGCAACAAATGCTAAAGGAACTTCTGTAGGTGCAAAAGAAAAAGCCACAACTAGAAACAAGAAAATAATGAATGGAAAAGCTCATCATTAAAGGCAAAAATACAGTAAAGGCAGGAAGTCATCCACACACAAATATGAAGTCAAAACCAGCAACTGTGA